GTAACTCTGACTTTCAAATAAATAAATAAATAAATCTTTTTTTTTAAAGTATATCCAGGTGGGGCTTGGTCTGGTGATTAAGATGCCCACCTCCCCAATTGGAATGTCTGTGTCCTAGTCCCAGCTCCACTTCAAATTCAAGCTTCCTGCTGTTGTGCACCATGGGAGGCAGCAGTGATGGCTCAAGTACTTGGGTTCCTATCACTCATGTGAGAAACCTGGATTGAGTTCCTGGATTCTGACTTCAGCCTAGCCAAGCTCCAGCTGTTTTGAGCCTTGGGGGAATGAACCAGTGGATAGGACATTTCTGTGTGTCTCCTTTTTTCTCTGCCTTTCAAAAAAATGAAGCAAATGACATTTTTCAAAAAAGAATGCTTTAAAAACCGAGAGTAGGTGTTTGGCAGTTTGTGACATCTGCATCCCACATTGGGGTGCCTGGGTTGAAGTCCTGGCTCTTCTCTTGCATCCAGCTTCCTGCTAATGCACATCCTGGGAGGAAGCAGGGTCTCCGCCACCCACCTGGGAGACCCAGATTGAGTTCTGGGCTCCTGGCTTCAGCCCGGCACAGCCCTGGCTATTGCAGGCATTTGAGAGAATGAATTACCAGACTGAAGATTCTCTCTCTCTCTCTCTCTCTCTCTCTCTCTCTCTCTCTCATCTCTATCATCTCTATCTCTCTTTGCCTTTCAATTAAAAAGGAACAGAAATCCAAATGTCAACCTGAGTATTTATGGGAATTAGTATTAGTAAAAATTATATTTCAATTCACTGGGAGAGAGAAGCACTATGAAAAAAGGGCTGAGGAGGAGGGGCTGTGCTGTGGCTTAGCGGGTAAAGCCACCACCTACAGTGCATGTACCTTATATGGTTGCCGGTTCGAGTCCCAGCTGCTCCACTTTCAATCCAGCTCTCTGCTATGGCCTGGGAAAGTGGTGGATGATGGCTCAAGTCCTGGGCCCCTGCACCCGTGTGTGGGAGACCCGGAAAAACTCCTGGCTCCTGGCTTTGGGCCAGCCCAGCTCCGGCCGTTGTGGCCATTTGGGGAGTGAAGCAGCAGATGGAAGACCTCTCTCTGTCTCTTTTTCTCTCGCTCTCTCTCGTTCTCCATTTCTCTGCCTCTTCCTCTCTGCAACTTTGCTTTTCAGATAAACAAATAAATCTTTTAAAAAAGTGGCTTGGGGAGAAATCACTATCTTTTTGGGGAGGGATAAGATGCTTATTTTGCAATTCAGAAAAATTAATTCCAGTCTGGTTAAAAATGTAAACATAAAAAAGCAAAGCTATAAAACTGTTGGAACAAAATGTTTTTGAAAAGCATTTTAAGGTTTTGGGCAGAGAAGCAGCAAAACACCAAAGAAAAGGCAAAAGATATAAAAAATAATAATAAACAACAGTTATTGGTCATCCTTGGCATTTTATTTGCATTAATTCGCTTTCAGCCTGACAACAGACCTCTGAAGAAGGTTCTATTTGAGATACAACCTATAAATCAAGAGATCAAAGTACAGCAAGCTGAAGTCACTTCCCCAGCTGAGGTCACTGCAGATCGTCAAACCTGGGCTTTGAAGCCAGGCACTCCTCCTCCACCCCCCCACCCCACCCCCCATGCTCTATAGTCTCTCCATTCCACATCAAAATAGAAAATTACAGTGTGATGAAAGATGCCACAAACAAAGTGAAAAGACTTGCGACAGACTGGGAGCAAATATTTAAAGCATTAGATCTACAGATCAATTATCCTGTCACACACCCTCGTCCTACAAACACCAGCTTTATACACACATCTCAAATGTCTCTATGACAAGTGAGACAAGTGCTTCCCTATCACATAGGCTGCACAATATGCCTGCCTTGTCTTTCTTAGGTTCTCTTTTTGTAATCTCTTCCTCTCAACTTGATCAATATTCCTCTCTTTTCTTTAAAGATTAATTTATTTAGTTATTTTAAAGATGTATTTATTTTGGGGCCGGTGCCGTGGCTCACTTGGCTAATCCTCCACCTTCGGCGCCGGAATCCCATATGGGCACCAGGTTCTAGTCCTGGTTGCGTCTCTTCCAGTCCAGTTCTCTGCTATGGCCTGGGAAAGCAGTAGAAGATGGCCCAAGTCCTTGGGCCCCTGCACCTATGTGGGAGACCTGGAAGAAGCTCCTGGCTTCAGCCTAGTCCATCCCTGGCCATTGTGGCCACCTGGGGACTGAACCAGTGGATAGAAAATCAATCTCTCTCTCTCTCTCCCCCTTCTCCCTGTCCTTGTCCCTCTCCATTTGTCTCTCCCTCTCCCTCATTCAAGTAAATAAATAAATCTTTAACACCAGCAACAAAAAGAGATCCGTAGAAGCAGATTTGTGTAACAGAGAAGGAGATGACAACGTGGACATGGAGGCAGAGATTGTGCCACAAACCAAAGAATGCCGTCAGCCACCAGAAGCTGGAAAGGGCAACAGATCGTTTCTTCGAGGCTCCAAAGGGGGTCTGGCACTTGACTTTGACCCACTGAAACTGATTTTGGACTTCAGGCTTCCTGTGAAAGAACAAATGTGTGTTGTTTCAAGTCACCGAGTTTGTGGTAATCAGTTATAGCAGCAGCAGTAAACTACTACACATGGATTGGGGGCAGAGTTGGAGGTCACTGGAGGGACTTAGGGATCTGTTTGGGGGGTTATTGAGGGTCATTTGATCATCTCATTAATGGTCATTGGAAAATATTTATTTGCATGCAGTTGGAGCTGTCAAAGGGAAGATTGCAGTGGGGTGGTTACTGCACGGTGCAGTGATTTGGAGGTGTAGTTGGAGACTGGGAAGGCAAATGGGGATGTTTATAGGTTAGCATTCGGGATTATTGGGAGGCAGTTTAGTGTGTAGTTCAGAGTTGTTGGGATTGTGGATGTTTGCGAAAATACTGGTAGATTTTTGTGGGTATAGTTGCATATAATTTAAACCAAGGTTGGGCATGGTGCTCATCACTAAGTGATTTGGGGTTATAGTTTGGGACTGCAGTTACGGGACCAAGAGAAGATAGTGAGCATTCAGATGGGTAGTTTTTGGAAGGATAATTTTCCTAGGAACTCCTTTTCTGATCCAGCTCTCTGCTATGGCCTGGGAAAGCAGTAGAAGATGGCCCAAGTCCTTGGGCCCTGCACCCATGTGGGACACTCAGAAGAAGCTCCTGGCTCCTGGCTTCGGATCAGCATAGCTCCAGCCATTGTGGCCAATTGGGGAGTGAACCAGCAGATGGAAGACCTCTCTTTCTCTCTCTCTGCCTCTCTTCTCTGTGTAACTCTTTCAAATAAATAAATAACTCTTAAAAAAAAACTACACCACAGTGTTGGCCCAAAATAACTAAACTAACTTACTAAATAAATAAATAAATAAAGGCATCTCTGCCTCTCCTTCTCTCTCTGTGTAACTCTGACTTTCAAATAAATAAATAAATATTTTAAAAAATGGATGAATCTCAAAAACATTATGCTAGAAGCCCAACTAAAAAATATCAACATATTATGTACAAAATGTTCAGGAAAGATAACTCTATAGAGACAGAAAGTAGATTAGTGGTTGCCTAAGGCTTGGAATGATATGAGGATTAAGTGTATTTAGCCATGAACAATTTTAGTGGAGCGATGAAAATACTCAAACTGGGGCTGGTTATTGCACATTTCAGTAAATTTACTAAACTTTTTTTTTATTTGCACAAGTTAAAAATGGATGACTTTTATGGTACCTAAATATATCTCAATTAGGTTGTTTTTAGAAAAGATCACTAAAGTATGGTTTGGGGTGTACCTGGGTCATTGGAAGGGTTGGAGGACATATTTTGGGCCACCAGAGTATGATCTGGGGGCTCAGTTTGGTAAATACAGCGAAATCATTCGTCGTTATTTGAAGGTGTGGTTGAAGATTGTTGGAGTGTAGCTTGGGGGATACTGTTTGGGTCGGTAGATGTCGCTCCCCCTCTTCGTGGAGGAGCAACACAGGACCCTGCGCTGTTCTTTCGTCTGCTCGGCCCTCCCCGGGTTTGCTGCTGGTTCTTCCCGGGTTGGCTACTATCCCTTCCACCTCCGTGGAAGGGCAGTTCCCCCTGGCCGCATTCCCCACTTCCGCAGGGGAGCGGCACACCGCCGGCCGGCTCTTCTCGGGGGCTGCACAGGTGTTCCCTCAGCTAGATGTTCCCCATAGATGTTCCCTGGTGCATGCCGTCTCTCTCCTCCTTTATAGTCCTCCTCCGCCAATCCCAACTCGGCTGCCCACACGCCGAGTACACTGCTCTCCAATCAGGAGCAAGTCCTACAGTTTATTGGTTGAACTGGAGGCAGCTGTGCAGAAGCTGTTTACTCCTCTCCCAGCGCCATATTGTAGGAGAGCAGATGCATAGAATAAGTCTTAATTCCAGTAACTCAGTCCAGTCCGGGCTGCTCCCCACAGGTAGAGAGCAGCTTGGCAGTGTACAGGGAGAGATAGGGTGGCTTGAAGTGCAGTTGGGAGACCACACATAGTCAAGAGCATGCAGGACAGAGATCGGGGGTTCTGCAAGGCAATTTTGTGAGGACAGGAGGGGAGGTCAATGGAAGGTCATTTGATGGTGGTGGAATCCATAGAGCATGGTTTGGAGACAGAGCAAGTGACAGTTGGAATTGATTTGAGGTGCGAGTGACGCCCACATTGAGGGTAGCTGGTAATATTTGGAGTGGTGTTATGGACTCTTGCAGAGCCAGTAGGGGATTCATAGTGTATGGTTGGAGGGTACATGGAGAGTGGTTTGGGATCAATGGACAGTGTTTTGGGTGCACATTGGAGGCATTTGGAGGATGATTTGGAAGTGCTGTTTGAAGGCTAATGGCTTCAGGGCTAACTGCAGACGGTTTGAGGAACAATTTGGGAGTAATGGAAGGTAGTGTTTTGGTGCGGTTTGGAAGTCCATGGAGGATGGATTGGAGGTACTACTTAGGATCAATGGGCAGTAATTTGAAGACATAATTTGGGGGATAATGAAAGATAGCTTACTGCGTCCACTGATAGACCTTGAACAATTTGCTGTTGTTCTTTTGGTTTGCACCAGGATGTGAAAGAAAAATCCCTGCACTTTCTCTTTGTGACAGCCTACATTGAATTGGGGAATACATTTAAAGAAAAAAGAAAGAATGAACGAAAGATAGTTTGAAGATTGAAATTCAGAGATAAATGGAGAGTGATTTGGAGATTGTGGGAACACAGTTGGGGGTGCACCAGGAGATTCTATAGGTGATCTGGGTGTAATTTTGATAGTCATGGAGGGTCATTTAAGGGATAAAGGCTTGGCGTCAATACAGTGTGATTTAGGCACAGCTTGAAGGTCAATGGGAGGTGGTTTATTGGTGCAGCTTGGATGTCCATGGAAGATAAATCAGAGGTCCTGCTTCGGATCAGTGGACAGTACTTTGAGGGTGATGGAGAGTGGTTTGGGGTGCATTTGGGGATGGCGACAAGGAAAGCTGGGAGAGTTTAGAGGTGTGGTGATGGCTTATAGAGAGCAGCATGGGGTACAGCTTGTACCGCCTAGGGGTCCGTGCAGAGTGACTTATGGGGGGGTGCCTATCTGCTCGCCGAGGGGGCGTGGCCATGGCAGGGCTGGGGGAGGACTCCGCCGCCCTAAAGAAAGTCTGTGCGCACGCGCTCCCAGCCTGTTCACTCCTGGCGCTCCCAGGGCAGGAAAATCGAAGAGCCGACCTGGCGCCTGCGCACTTCGTCCTCGCCGCTGCTGTGGTCTCGCGCCCCGCCCCCCGCACCCCCCACCCCGAAGCTCGCGTTCAGCGGCGGCGGTGGTCGTGCCGCCGGGAGCGGGCGGACCCGAGTGCAGGGTGGGGGGCGGGGGCCCAGCGCCGGCGGCTTGGCCGGCGCTCCTCTCCCACCCCCCGGGTGCCCCCCGTCTGGCCCCACGGTAACGGTCGCGCGGCTGAACGCGGCCCACGGGCAGGGCGCGGAACAGGAGAAGGCGCGCGCCCGGGGACGAGCAGGGCGCAGCGAGGGACGGGCGCGCCCACTACCCCTGCCGGCCTGCACCGACCCCGCCTACGCCTCTGGGTGAGGACCTTCGGTGAGTAAGACCCCCGCACACACTTGGGGAGCAAGGGAGGGGACTGGGTGGGCTGAGGGCCCGGAAACGCTGGTGAGGATATACCTGCGCTGGCATTCACGACCTCTGACCCCGTGGCCTCACCCCTGACCCCCTCTGACCTGACTACATGTTATTGAGATCTCGAACCCCAGCCAGCTTTGGCCTCAGGACCTGTGGTCCAACCCCTAACCTAACCACATTCTGGGGTGGTGGGATCTTCATCCTCTGTTTTGTCCCCCTAAATCCAGTCAGGACCCCAAACCCCATCCAGTTCTGTCCTTAGCATCCTTGACTTGATCTCTGATTCTTGATTGAGCCCGTCTCAGCTTTGAGGCTCATCTTGTTATGTCCTGGTGCTTGACCTTAACTCTTACCCAGTCTCTGAACCTCCGCCCCTCTTGTTTCCTTAACCCCAATCTGATCCAGTTTTGTCCTGATTCCTAACCTGACGTAGGTACTTTCACCCTGCCCTGTACTGTGCCCCTGGTCCCTCTCCTTACTCCAGTCTCCATCCCAGCTTACCACCTGTATATGTCCCTCTCTGTCTCCTGCTCTGGCCCCAATCCTGTCCTATTTTTCCCCCTTTTCTTGTCCCATCACCATTCTCATTCCAGTCCTCACTCTCTCCTGGTCTTTTCCTGTCCTGACCTCTATCC